CTGATGGGTGGGATGTGGCTGAACTTCATTTTCTTTCCCCAGCGACGAAGTTTTTGCAGTTGAATGTGAATTCCTGCTTTCTGCTCTATGAGTTTGTTTTTTCTTCAGGATTTGCACAGGGAATCAGCAGTCTTCATTCTCCCCTTGCCGTGTGTAGACTCTCTACCACACAGGGCTGTGCTGTCCTCATGCCCCTGTGCCCAAATCACTGCCCTCTGCCCATGCCTGCCAAGCTGAGCCCTGCAGACTGTCGTGCTGGATTGACATGAGCCCTGAGATTGGCACAGAAATGGTGACTTTGGGGCTTTTTCCACACTCAGGAAGCTGAAAGCTTAGTTCTTAGTGATGGATTTACCAAATTGTGCCCTGAGGCAGCTGCTCATGCTGGATAAAATCACCAAAGCACGGGGAACCAGGCGCTGGGCAGAGATTTCTCATGGGCTCCACTTTGAAAGCTGCAGACTGCAAGCCAAGCTCTGCCTTCGCGCCTCGCACTCATGAGGACAACCTCACTAATTATTGATTAAAAGATTTTGCTAAACCATTTCCAGAAGCAACAACACACTGAGGAGCGCGTGCTGAATTATTCATCACAGCACCATGGCCCCGGCCCTCACAGCAGGGCTGCATGGCACCCACAGTGGCACTCAGTGGAACCACAGGGCTGGGACAGCCGGGTCTGGCAGTGGGGACACAGTTGAGCCCAGGATGAGCCCTCTGGACAGTGCTGGGCTTTGCTAATGAGCAGAAACACAGATAGAAAGCAACCCTGGGGCTCTGCACCCAGCTGCAGCTCTCGCTCTGTCGTGTCCTTTGGTGAAATTTTAAACAGTCACCTTTTTTTTTCTTCTCTTTTCTGGCTTGCCATTAATTTCAAACCAAGAGAGACCTAATTTAGTAAATGAGATTCTTCAGGAAGGCTTTAATTAGCTGCAGATGGAGGCAGGCAGTGCTATCATGGGCCTCGATCGCACAGAGGGCTGCGCACCCCCACTACCAGAATACAGTCAGGCTGGGTCCCTTCCACATTCGTGCCCCAGACCAGAGGGGGTGCGCTTTGTTCCCCACACATCACTCCCAGTCTTGCAGCCGTTGAGCCCCAACATCCCACCAGCACATGGGGCTCAGCTCGCCTGGCGACGTGGCAGCAGCAGAGCAGGGTGCGTGGTGCAGCTCCATCAGCACAGCTGGGGCCACACAAAGAGCTGGGTTACTGTGGGCAGATGGCTGAAACCCGAAAGCAAGAGCTGGGGGCTCATAATAGCCCTGGGAGCAGGCAGAGCCTGGGGTGAAGGCAAGCACCAGGCCCAGGGCCACCCAGCCCTTCCAGGAAGGCACAGCTCTGCCGAGGTGCAGCACGCTCAGCCCCACCGTGCAGCTGTGCGGCTGGGGCATCCCCGAGCTAAATTTACTCCTCAGTCTCCAATCAGAAACTGAAGCTGGGGGGCCCACGCTGGCCAAAAAAAGGAAATGAAACAGTCTCCAGAAAGCACTGACGTGGAAAGCAGAGCGAGTGCCGCGCAAACTGGCTGCCATGCCACATGCCTCAGGTTGGGGCTTTGCCACACTGAGCTTGCTACTGCTTGGGTGGGTGCCCACTGCCTGGGCACACGGCACAAGGTGCACACATACACACACTTACACACATGTACACACACTTACACACACATACATACACACACACGCTTACACACACACACACACACACAACCCCAAACCATCAGGTGATGGGTGCCCTCCAGGCAGACCCACACACGTGGGGCTGGGTCCACACTGCTCCATCTGTGTCTTTTGCCCCTGTGTGCCACCCCTGCCCACTCCCATCATGTGTCACCCCAAATCCTGAGTTAATCCTGTGATTCCTGCCTGTTTCCACCGTCCACGGCAGGCTGGAGATGCCCAAAATAAGGAGCAGGTTTCCCTGAATCTGGTAGATGAAACAGAGTTTTGGGTATTCCCCTGCAGCAGAGCCTCAGCTGTAGGAATCGCAGAGCCATCAACGCCGCAATTAAAGAGAAATTAAATTAAATCAATAAATGTTTTAGGCGGGCTCAGCTGCCAGCACCACCTGACCGAAACAGCCTGCTTGCGAAGAGGAGAGCATTTGCATGGCTGTGGCAAAACAGCAGCCGCCTGTTGCACAGCTGGGATGGTGTTATCTGGAAATGTACACAGCCTGTGAGGGGTAAACAGCTCCAAACTGAGACCCCGAGCTTGTCAACAGGTTGTAAACAGGCTGAAATAAACACCTTTGTGCTGCGGAAAAATATTTATCATCTCAATTTTAGCAGGTTTATAAAATAAAACTCCCAACAGAGCGACACACCTGCTTTGGAAGGGAAGCAAACACTTGTTTTCTGCTTGATGTTGCCTGTTAGAAGCCATGTTTCCCAATGCAGGTGGGCCACAAAGCAATGAAAACAACGTGAGCTGAGCTTCAGCCCTGTTTAAGCCCCCACCTCAGGGCTTGTGGCTTGGGAGCAGACAGGGCGCAGGGGCTGGGCAGGGGATGGCACAGGGCTGGTGACATGGGCTGGCCTGGGGTGTCTGACTGAGCTTTTTGGGGAGGGGTTTGAGCCCTGGGGCAATCACAGCATGCACGGAGGAGGCGGGAGGATGCAGCCAGCAGCTGCCCTGCTCTGATCAAACCCCATCCATGGGCTTGCAGATGGCCTTCCTATCCTTCCGCAGCCTTTGCATGGGCTGAACGCAAGGTTTAAGCGTTTCTGCCATGTTTTTGGTGTGTTTGGAGGGGCGGTGTGGGTGCGTGGGCTCTGCCACGTGCAGCCAGCCCCGCAGCTGAGCCTGCAATCTCCCAGATGTGCTGACCGCAGCCACAGGGCCCGGGGGCAGCAGTTTCTCTTGCTAAAAATTGTAGCCGAGCCGAAAACATGCGGCCACTTTGGCCAAACAGCAGCTGGAGGACAGGAATAGATAGCCGTGGCCACGGCACGCTCTGCTTCCTCAGCACAAACATTCCAGCACGTGGCACCATGAGTGCCACTGCCCGGCACAGCAGCAAGCAGAGCCAGGAGCAGGAAACGCTGATTTGGGCCCCATTTTGGTAATGGCACAGAGAAGAAGCTTCCAGGAAGCTCACCAGTGTTGGTAGTTGGGGCTTGGAGAAATGGTGGGGAGGAAATAGCCACTGCCCACCTTCCAGAGCAGGCTCTGGTCCCATCTCACTGCAGGGCACCAGGGCATTTGCACTGCAGCAATTCACAGAAACACCTGAAATGGCTCCTGTCATGTTCAGCATGGCTCCGGTCTTGTTCAGCATCTTCAACAGTGACCTAGATGAGTGGCTGACGCACCAGAAGGCTGTGCTGCCATTCAACAGGATGTGGACAGAGTGGAGAGCTGGACAGAGAGTAACCCGATGAGGTTCAACAAAAGCAAGTGTGGGATCCTACACCCGGGAAGGAATAACAGCATGCATCAGTTCAGGTTAGGGGCTGAGCTGCTGCAAACGGGCTCTAAGAGAAGGACCTGGGTGTCTGCTGACAGTGGTGTGCCCCTGTGGCCAAGAAGGCCAGTGGTATCCTGGGGAGCACTGCAATGAGAGTGAGCAACAGTGTGAGAGAAGTGAGGCCACATTTGGAGCACCATGCCCAGTTTTGGGCTCCTCAGTTCAAGACAGACCAGGGAACTGCTGGAAAGAGCCCAGCAAAGGGCTGCAAAGATGATGAGGGTCCTGGAGCATCCCCCATATGAGGAAAGGCTGAGGGACCTGGGACTGTTCAGCCTGGAGAAGACCAAAGGGCAGGAGCCAAGTGGACAGGGCCAGGCTCTTTTCAGCATTGCCCATTGATGGGACAAGGGGCAGCAGGCACAAGGTGGAACATAAGAAGTTCCGTCTGAACATGAGGAAAAACTGCTTCGCTTTGAGGCTGGCCGAGCACTGGAAGAAGCTGCCCAGAGAGGCGGTGGAGTCTCCTCTGGAGACATTCAGATCCTGCCAGGACACTTTGCTGTGTAACCTACTGCAGGGAACCTGATTCAGCAGCGGGGTTGGACTGGAGGATCTCTGGATGTCTCTTTCAACCCCAGCAGTTCCGTGACTCTGCGAAATACCTCAAATGCTGCAAAACGTAGTGCTAAGAAACAATGACATTTTTAAACTGAAAGGTGGTGGGTTTAAGTTAGATGTAAAGAAGAAGTTCTTCACTCAGAGGGTGGTGAGGCCCTGGCACAGGCTGCCCAGAGAAGCTGTAGGTGCCCCATCCCCAGCAGTGCCCAAGGCAAGAAGCCCAGCAGTGACCACAGCTCCACAAGGACGAGCATGGCCCCTTGTATCTCAGCTCACCCTGCCCCAGCTGAACTCCCACCTGCAGCACAGCATGGGCACACAGCTGGGCCCTGTGCTTATGGAGCCCTTGGGGCAGGTCAGTACCCACAACCCCCAAACATGGCCGTGGCTCCCAACCGGAGACAGCTGGAGCTCGGCAGCTACAACCAAGCAGAGCCACGCAGGAGTGACAGCAGGGTCCCCCCAGCCCCCTGTGGAGCAGCACATGGAGGGCTGGGCCTCTGCTCCAGTCTGCAGTGGGTGCATGGGAAGCATTGCCAGACACTGTCTGGATCACCTGCACACCTAAGTTGCCTCACACCAGGGCATTGCTCAGTCCCACTGTGACCTGTGCCCTTATTCCATAACTTAGGGGGCTGGAGTGCCTGGACCTGGGGCAGACATAGCTGCAGCCTAAAATCAGCTCCTGGGAAAGGGCCCCAGGCTGCACCAAGCAGGGCTGAGATGTGCCACGTCCCCAAAGCCAGAGCTGGGGAAGGCAACGTGGCCGTGTGTGTGTATGCTGAGCACAAGGACACGTGCTGGGCCGGGATTTGTCTCGTTGGGGTTCACGCTATGTGTCACCCGGTGCCATCCCATCCCCTCCTGCAGCACCCAGCTCCCCCATGGCCACACACCGCCCGTGTCCCTGCACCGGCACTGCACAGAGACACGGAGCCAGGGGCCGCACACGGGGCCAGGAGCTCACCTTTATTGCAGCCCTGACAGCCCCATGACCGAGCCCACGACAGAGCTGCCGCATCCTCACCCGGCTGATGGCCCTAGCTGCTTTTTACCATTTTTTCCCCATCACCCATAAACCAGAAGTTTCCTCACCGCTGCAAAGAAGAGCCAACAGGGAACCCGGGCCCTAAAGGGAAGACAAGAAGGGGCCGAGCAGGGGCAGCAGGAGCAGCGGGGCGAGGGGACAGTGGGGACACCCACAGCTGGCCGTGGCATCCCGGGAGGAGAAGATCTTGCGGCGGTGGAGCGGTTGTGGAGGACGGAAGTTGTTGGTCATCTTCAGGGGCGCAGCGCCCGAGGCCGGGAAGTGAACGGTGCTGACAAACGCCTGCAGCTGCGGGGGGAGAGGAGCGGGTGGGAGCAGCGCCGCGGGCACTGCGGGCTCTTCACGGGGTGAAGCGAGGCGCACACGCAGATGCTGCCGAGCAGAGCGCAGCGCAGGAGCCCCGTCTTTCCCCCTAACGGCCAGCACGCGGCTCTGCACGCACTGCGCTTTGTGCCGCCTCGCAGCTGATGGTGCAGGAAGCCCAGCGGAGCATTTACAGAGCGGCCAGGAAATGCATCTACTGAGATACCCGGGAAAGGCAGGAGGACTTCATCCATCCTCACCAGTCCTCTCCCCAGCCCCCCTGCCATCCAGCAACCCACCCAGTTTCCTCTCGGTGCCCCTCTCAAGCTCTCCATCCCCACATTTCTGCAGATGTCCCCCTTTACTTTGCCTGCAAGGCATAAGAAAATGCACAGGGACTGGGGATGCTCACAGCACGGCTTTGGCCAGATGGGCCCTTCCATCCCACGGCAGGTAATCCCATTACCTGCTCCCTGCTGATGCCCACGGGCTCCTCAAACACAGTCCAGATGACGGCCTCGCTGCAGTCAGGGGTGGTCAGGGAGCCCTGGTAGCGGTAGTAGCGGGAGAGCTGTGCGACGTGTGGCAGCAGCATGCCAAGGCGGAAGGTGGAGGCCAGGTCCACTGCCTGCCCTGCACAGCAGGACGTGGGCACTCAGCCCCACCACCCTCAGCGTGCCCCAGGGTCTCTTCCCTCCCCACCGTGCCCCAGCACAGAGCCCCAGGGCACCTCACCAGCATGGGAGATGTTCCTCAGTCCCCCAATGATCGTGTTGTAGTTGGAGTTTGCGGCTTCTGAGACCTGCAAAGAGTGAGCGTGCCCTGCAGTTGTGCTCAGCTAAGACCAATGCATGGCAGCATCCATCCAGTGCACTTGCAGCCAACCTGGAAGAAGCAGCCCAGTGCAGCCAGCCCGCTTGGGTGCCCCTTGGCCTCCCCCAAGGTGCGGTACTTGACGTTGATGTGGACGATGTGCAGCTGGAGAAAGTATGGAGAGCTCAGCATGGACACCCAGTCTTTCCAGCAGCCAGGCACCAGGATGGGAAATCAAAGGGCTGTGGTGCTAACGGGCTTTTTGCCTACCTCCATGGGGAGCTGATGCCCATCCACGGTGTGCTCAGAGCCATTCCTAGATGGGCTGCCCCAGTGGAAGTGCAGCTGCAGTGCACGGTACCGGCCCGGGAGGCCCCCCCCACTGATGGCAATGTGCTCAGCACCCGGCTCGCTCTCCAGGCTCAGCATCACTGCAGATGATAGGAGAGGGACAGGGCTGTGTGCCGTGGGGCAGCACCACTGTGGAGCTGAGCCCTGGCTGGAGTAGAACACCCACCCGTGTGCCCATCGTTCAGCAGCCGCCACTTGCCGGGGGGTGCCTGGTCATAGCCCTCAAAGATGATGTCCCCAAGGCTGCCGTCCCGCTGCAGCCAGCGCCGGTCAATGTTAACTGGAGACTGCTTGTCGCCGCTGCAGGTGGTCTGCAGCTCTTTCCAGTGGCTGGGGCCTGCAGGGAGCACAGCCATGGGTGCACCTGTAGTGCCATCACCACCACCCTCAAGGAGGACGCAAAGCCAAGAGCAGCCCTGTCCCCACCATAGGCCCTGCCCCATCTCCATGCCTTCTCTCCCCATTACTCCAGGAAGGTTTTCCTTGGACACCTGTGGAGCTGCAGCCCACCCCATGAGCTCCCTATTACCCACTGCCCTCATTAAGGGATGGTGCCCTCAGCACGTGCCTGTTCTGTGCTGTCCCAACCGCCCCCCGCCAGCCCCAGCACGGTTTAATTGCTGCTGGAGCCGGGTCTGCGCCGGGCAGCAATGCTTGGAGCGCTGCTGGACACGGCTGACCTGCAGCACAGTGAGCACACACCTGAGGGCTATAAAGCAATTGGGCTGTAACTGCTGATTACATGCTCCCTGATCCTTAATTAACCTCTTACAAGCTATTATATGTGTGCTTCCAAAGTGCCTTCGGGCACCGGGCAGGGAAGCACCAAACAGAACTGTGACCATCCCCACTCACCGCACTTCGGGTCTTGTGAGTCGTAGCACCACTGCCCTGCAGGAGAAAGCTGTAGTCAGGGGCTGCAGAGGCCCCCACTCCCTAAGCCCCCCCATATTGCAGATCTCTGCACAGCACACAGAGTGGCCGTGGGCAGAGGTGCGCCCACACCGCCCGGAGCAGCGCTATGGAGCCGCTTCCCTCCCACCTCGCTGCTGTCAGTACAGGGACAGCTCGCTCTGTGCTGCGCTGGGAGCGGGGTGAGGAGCGCCGCTGCTGCCCACGACCGCTCTGCTCCACTCGTGTCCCACCAACCCGTCAGAATCCCTGTGAGGGAACTCAGCCACCCCAGCACTCCCTGCCTGCAGGGATGGTTCCCCTCTCACCCCGCTTTTGTTACACAGGCCGCAGGCAGTGCTGTGCGCACCGCCTGTGCTGCTGGCTTCGCATCCAGCTCCTCATTGCGCTGCTATGTGAGGCTGCAGACACAGGGCTGGGAATGGGGACTGTCCCAGGGCAGTGACTTCAGGCTTTTCTTCCCATCCAGTGGGAACTGAGCCTCTTGCACACCCTCAGAGCCACAAAGCGCTGCCTTCACCCAACTGTGAGCATCCCTGGCACGAGCCAGGTGGGCACTCTGCTCTATAGCAGAGTGCTGCACGCCCCAGCCCCACTTGCTCTGAGGAGTCATCCTCAGTGGCATTTCCCCGGTTATGAGCACATGGGGCAGAGGGGCTGAAACCTCAATCCCAGCTGTCTGAATGACCATCTGATATCCCAGATGCCTCCCAGCAGGGCTGACACTTCCCTGAGCCCAGCGGCACAGCAGGGACAGGGCTGTCCCATGAGGAGGGCACAGAACACAGCTCCTGGACTGCACCACATCTCCAAACCCCAAGCACCACAGACATGCATTCCCCCCACATGTAATGAAAGAGAATGGCTGGCTGGCACTGCTGTACCCCCTGCCCGGCACCATGCCACCCCATCACCTCCAGCCACCTGCACCCCGTGCCCATCCGTCCGCAGCCCCAACCACGACGGTGCAGCAGACAGGCAGCGCATCTCACCTCCTGCAGCCGCTCGGATGACAAGAGGCAAAGTGACAAAAGTTACCCCCAGCCCCAGCAGCCCCATGCTGGCAGCCCCGCTGCAACGCCCCGTCCTCCTCCGCAGTGCGCCCGGGCGGGCGGCAGGGCTGGGGAGAGGGATGCAGCGCTGCCAGCCCTGGAGAAATCCTCGGCTCCAGCTTGAACACTGCTTTTAAATATTCATCACAAGGGCTGAGTTTTTAACTCCTCGCCTGCTAGGAGGGAGCGGGAGCGCCCGGCCCCCAGCCAGCCCCAGTGTGCTGTGCCAGGTCGGACTGGCACGTGTGGGCAGCAGGCAGCAGTGGGAGTTCCCGGCACCATGGGGCTGCTCTGAGCTCCTCAGGGCTGCACTGAGCTTTGTGGGGCCGAGGGGGTGGCAATGAGGGCTGCAGTGAGCTGCTACTCTCCATCCCTAAAGGTATGGGTTGCGGCATCCCCACTGTGCTGCCAGCCCTGTGTGGGGCCATGGAAGGCTCCTGCAGGGCCAGTGGGGATCCACGTGTGACACCTTTGGTTCTGGCACAGCTCTGGCACCCCCAGATCTGGAGCTCAGGGAAGGAGCTGGGAGTGAGCAGTGCCACAGGAACCCACAGGTAGAACCCCCTTAACCCCACAATCCTTCAGCCAGGGTGGGTTTGGGGAACTGCAGCATTCCAGCCCAGCACCCATACCCCCAGCACAGCCCAGGTGCGTGGTGCAGGGCAGCCGTTATCCCAATGGAAAAGTTCTCCTCCTGCAGAGGGGAGGTAGGAAGGGGGTGAGTGCGCGGGATGGTGGCGTTGTCACATCATCCTAAAATATCCCCGCTTGCCTGAAAGCAGCAGAAAAAAGGAGGCCACGGGGCACGTTCCTCCTCTCCTCCCGCAGGTACTGACCTGGCTCAGCACTCGGAGCTGCTGCCAGGATGAGCAAAGCCCGGCACCACACAGGGCACAGAGTGGGCATTCTGCTGGCAGCTTGGCCACGGCACTGTGGCTCAGCACTGCTACCGTGTGCTGCATGCACAGGGCTGGGCTGGCCAGGGGGCTCTTTGGGGCACGTTCAGCACCCACGGTTCATGATCCAAGCAGAACCCCAACATCTCCCTGCCCTGCTGGACACCCACTGCCACCCGTCCCTGCTGCCCTCCTACTGGGAGCAGCCTCCAGTTTCTATAGGAACCAGAACAAACCTTCAAGGAACCGCGCTGTGCTTCCCAGCCTGCTGCTGCCATTGCTGCTGCTGCTGCACGCTCACGGCTGCACCATCCTCTCAGAGGGGCTGTGTCCATCGTCGTGCTGGGCAGGACAGGGAGCTCCCACAGCCGTACGCACGGGTGCAGGAGCCATTACAGGGGTAAAAAAAAGGCTTGCTGAAAAATATAGTTACTGCTGCGGCATCCATCGATCCAACGTGGGCACTGTGCCTCCCTGCTGGGAGCCCCCGCTGTGCACAGCAGTGCCAGGAGCTGTTCCTGGAGGTGAATCCTCAGCTGGGAACACAGCCTGCAGACCTGGGGACTGGGATGAGACTGGAGGAGGGGGAGAGGAGCTGCACAGCTCAGCTTACCCAGGGATGGATGCATGAGGGCTGTAGGCATGCAAAAAGTGGGGAGATGGAGCCCAAGCAGAGTAAACCCTAGGCAGTCCTAGCTTTGTTTGTTTCTGGTGCAGCCAGAGTGTCCGGACAGGAGCACAGCAGTGCCCACACAAAGACAGCACTGTGGGCAGCAGCTGCATGTGGCCCTGGCACTGCCCGGCACCCGGAGGGGGACTGCCAGTGTCGGGAGCAGAGCGTGACCCTGAGTGATGCACTTTGGGCTGGCAGGAGCTCTTGCTGCAGCACCCAGACACTGACATCCACGGGCTTGGGCACAGCCAGAGGGTGCAGCATAGTGGCTGTGCCAGGGCACCGAGAGGAGCCACGCAGGGCCCTGCGGCCTCCCAGAGACCTCTGTCTGTCTGTGACATGGGCAGTGTGTGGTACTTACTTCCTATTGCCCTGTAGTGCAGCAGCGCACAACTCCAGGCGCTGGAGGAACTCTGTGAGCTCCTTGCTGTGCCCCATGGGCAGGGGCCAAGGATCCCGGTGGCACCGCGGTGACGGTGACATCGTGTGCTGGACAGCATTCAGTGATGAGCGCATCTTGCAGCCACCCGCAGAGCTTGGGCTGCACTCCTGCTGCTCACTGGGCAGCTGGACAGCATGAGCTCAGCCCCGGCCGCAGCCAGGCCAGCCGGCCCCTCGCCAGCAGCCCCCGCTCCTTTCCTGGCTCTGAGCTCAGCCCTGGGCTATGGCTGTAAATTCTCCTTACCTCCCCAGGTAAAGCAGGTTTGTGACCCCGCACAGAACCCCGGTGTTTGTGATCAGAGCTGGATCCCAGCAGCAGAAGGCAGGAACCCTGGTGCAGAGGGCACAGGGATGGCACCAGCACAGGGACACGCACAGCAACTCTGATCCCAAGGACCGGTGCCGGCAGCACATGGGAGAGCACGGAAACCCGACCTAGAGATGTTCACTCACACTGCTAAACCAGCACAGCAGCCTACAGAGCATCGTCTTGTAGAATCGTAGCACGCCTTGCGCTGGAGGGGACCTGACAGATCCCTAAAGCCCACCGTGGGCTGGATACCCCCACCAGCACGGGCTGCCCAGCCCCATAGACACGGGGCACCGCCGGGGATGGGCACCCACAGCTCCCGAGTCCGCCGGCCCCAACGAGCCGGGCTCGGGCTGCCGCAGCTCCGCGCTCCGCTCCTGCCCCCTGCTGCCCCGAATCGCCGCTGGACGGGATTTCCCATCGCGATGCCGAAGAAATGCATCGATGGCCAAGAAAAAAAAACCCAAAAAACAAACAAACAGATGCCGACACAGCACCTTCGTCTTACAGAACCATTTATTTGGCGTGGGGATGAAATGTTTCTCACAGCATCTTAAGAAAAAGAGAGCTTAGTGCCAACCCTTAGTGCCAAGATAGGAGTTAAAAGCAGCGAGAAGATCCTCACAGGAACCAATCGTCGTAGCACCCAATTTCAGTTCTGCACCATATTTTCACAGAATATCAGAATCTTCTGTACGCAGCCACAGCTCCATCCAGTCCCAACCACTGGCACAGGAGAAACCTCCAAGCAGCACTTTTCAGATGGCCCTGAGTTCTGAACGGGAATGCTGATGGATTTGCCTCCCCTCCACTGTTCTGCTCCCATTTCAGGGTCCAGATCCCAATGTGAGAGGGATGTTTGGAAGCAATTTTGGTATATTTAATGTTCTTTAGCTAAAGGGGAAAAAAGGAATGTTTCAACAACTGCAAAATGAAGAGACGCAGCATGAATCGCACAACACGAAACCCTCAGTTCTTTGCCACTGAAAAGCCACCTCTGAAAGACAAAAACATCCTGAAAAACAGCTTCAGTGCCACTTAACGTGAGATGGGCAAAGGTTGGGCGCTGCTGACAAAAAACATTTCTCCCAAATGGAACAGCAAAGACACGTGGATGGGCCACAGGAATGGGGAGCACACCTGGAGGTGAGGCCTTCAGAGAAGCCCTGCACCCACTCCGTTTCGCTTCCCCATCCGCATCCCAGCACAGGCACAGGAATCGTCTGAGGCTCAGAGTGAGACACAGCTGAACATCACACAAAGCTTTGTACATCTGACCAGCAGTTTTGCCCTAAAGCTACAGCATCCCACAGCTCACCTAGTGCAAAAACAGAGGCTGTGCATCACGGTAATGCAGACACCACCACAGCTGTGCCCACCACGGAGCAGTGAAGAGCTCAGTATGGCAGCACAGTCTGCAGCATGAGGGGATGCTGAGGAATGGCTTTGTCAGGGGCCACAATAGGACACGGAGCCCCACACGGAGCTCAGGCACCCGGCAGAGCTGATGGCAGCCAGGGACATGCAGAGAGATGGGCCCTTTGCTCATCATAAGCCGATAGGGGAATGGAACCTTATCTGCAGGGAGATCTGGGATGCACCAGGAGATAAAAACCATCAGAGAAGTGAGCAGCAGTGGGAAATCAGAGCATAAACTAATGCCAAAGATCTCATCAATCTAATGGCAAGCAGAAGAGCAAGGTTCTCCTTCAGGCACGCTCACTGATACGTGCTCAGCCCTTACCAAGGGCAATGGAGCTCTGCCTGCGAGCCGCTGCCGCCAGGAAAGGACCTTCCCAGCTGCTGCAAGGTCCTGGAAGCTGCGCCATCCATCCCTGCTGCAGAGGCTCCTACCTGTTGTGAAAAAAGCTACGTTTAAATGGGCAAAAAATGACATTATTGCAGCATTAGCTCACCGAGAGGTAAGCAAGGGCTGGACTCAGTGAGCTGCTCCATTTGATGCAAGATACCCCTTGCTTGCAGTTGAGGTGAAGGATAGGGAAAAAAGAGAGGAAGCAGCAGCCTCTGTGCCAGAAGAGAAGTGGGAAAGGCTCAGAACTATGGGCAGTACATCACACTGGAGCTCCTGCAAAGCAGACCCACATTTGGAACAACTACAGCCAGGAGCCGCCATGACATCACGGATTGTACCAGAGTTTATTTCAAATAAATTCACCACAGAATAAAAAGTAAAATAAAAAAAAACAAACACAGAACATATTCCCGCAGTGTTATGAGATGTGTGAGGTAAGGTATCTGTTCACCTCCACCACAAAACACAGCTTCAGAGCCTAAACCAAGCCCAAAGGTCCTTTGTTATTGCGCTAGGATACTACGGAGGATGAACGCCCCATCCGGCTTCAAAAGGAATTAGAAGCTTTCCAGTTTGCATTGCTAACAAAGTGTTTTCAGGAACAGATTGCAGTAGCACAGACTTTGCACCCTGCCCTACAGAGTGCAGCCAGCTGGAGAGAAGCATCACCCCAGGAGCAGTTAGTGCCCAGTGCCCTGCTGAGCACACCGAGCATACAGCGTGTGTACATACAGAGATACAGCCATCCGCAAACACACACACACACACACACACTCATACCTACAAAACTAAAGAAAAACCAGTACATACAATGTATAAAACGTATGAATGTGCTCAAAAACGCACAAAACCCGCTTTATTTTCACACTTCAGAAATGCTCGATCGTTTGCACGCATGGTT